CCATCACAGTAATCTTTTTCACATGGGTGGTGAGTATCAAACTTGCTTGTATTGAGAGTTTACTGGCAGAACCATCTCCCAAGCCTCCCTCCATGGGGTCTTTTTGTCTGTCTGTTTTGAGACAGGGTCTCTCTATGCAATCCTGGCTATCCTAGAATTCACTATGTAGACCAGGCTGGCCTCAAACTCCCTGAGGTCCTCCTGCCTCTGACTCCTGAGCGCTGTGATTAAAGGGGTGCGCCAGCTTCCTCCTGAGGTTCTTGACACCATTAGGAGTAGGCTAACTTCTTGTCCTCCCCAGTGTCCTACAAGGCTGGTGTCCCTTCCCTGGAGGAGAGGTGATGACCCAGGCAATGTGATCCCTGCTCCTCCAACAGAGATGGTGATTGTGTGAAGCTTGGGGGTGGGAATGAGAATTGGGAGTTTTTGAGAGTTTGGAGAAGTAAGAAGGGACCCTTGGAGTGAGATCAACAAGATGATAATAGCCAACCTCAGATACAAGCTGAAGTCACAGCCCAGATGAGGGACCATGCAGCTCCTGAGAGGGAGACTCCAAGTGATAAGATGACAGTGCTCCCTGAGTACCCCTCTGGACCAGGGAGGGGGACTAGGAACTTGTGACTCATGTGTGATTTTTTTTCCAGGGCTGTGTGTTGGGCAATCAGACATTCCGGTCAATGGTAAGTGGGTCTTCAGGCAAACTCTCCTTGATCTTTCACTTCAAATTTTTTCCTCCTCTTTTTATATCTTCTGTATGTGTGTCCATGTGCATATGTGAGTACACATGTGAGTGTGCATTCATGTACAAGCCAGAGGTCAACAACATGTGAGTGTGCATTCATGTAGAAGCCAGAGGTCAACAACTGTGCTATTTTCCAATGCTGGGGGACCTGGCTCCAGCAGTGCAGGGCTCAAAGGGAATTCCATGGAGTCGGCATACTGTGACTTTTTATCTGAGGGATAGGGGAAAAAAAACACTCACATACTCTCTTGATGCTTTCCTTCTTTGTTTTATCACTGCATTCTCTTCTCTACTGCTTATATACCTCAACAAAGTCTTTCAGGCAATGTAGGAATTGCAAGGTGGTTACATTCTATTTTACCAGTGAATACTTATAATGAATATGTTTTTTTGTCTCTCACATGATTAAAAAGAAGCCATCCCAAGACGCCATGTACATTTACATCTAAGAAACTTGTTACAGATTTTCACAGTGTGATCATGCAGTGGGTATCTTTCTCAGCCATCTTTTACTGGCAGGCTGTATTTACAGTTACAAAAAAGGATTCAGTCACTTTATTAGTTATCTTGAAAGGTAATCTTATAAGGAATTTTAATGGAATCGCAATCCTAAAATTTTACATGTAAAACAATCATTCAGCTCTACTTTAAATCTTTAGGGTGCATACCCACTCATCAGTAGTTTCTTATATCCAGAGTTTGAGGGCAAAAATGGACACAAGGAATTAATCATCACCTTTGATC